CTCGTTAGCCTTTCACCTCCAAGGCCCTTGATCTCCATGTAATTAAGCTCAGACATTAATGAGTTTTAAGGGATAAAGGAGCCCCACGTGGACTATGAACGCTGCCCACTAGGAGGCCATTTTGGATAATTATCAGCCTCAGCTTGAAGACCACTTACTGGAGGGGGGGATGGATGGCGGTTGCAGGCTTACAAGGGCATCCAGGACAAGAAACACCAGTGACGAAACTGAGCCCTTCCTTCTTGTTTTTAACCAGGGCCAACCTGAGACAAAGTGATAAAGTAGATGAAAATGTCTCTTTTTAAAAAAGGGCAACGTACCCATCACTATCTGTGGGCCCTTTCTGAGAATTTCTTTGTAGGCTTCTGTCTCTGAAGCAGGAAGAGGGGGATGGCCGGGAATCTCAGCGAGGTTGTTAGGGGTGAGCAAGCAACCGCACCCCTCCAGCCGCGGACGCTGGTTGAGGAGTTGGGCCCGCGAGCTTACCTTCCAATGGGCCTCAGAGCTCCATTTCCAACGTCCACCCGGGCCTGAGGGCAGCCGTGGACAGCAGGAGATGGGGGAAATGAAGAAAAAGGAACACACACGCGTTCCACCCCCCATTAAGGAGCAGAATTGGAGCCTTTCCTGTTTCCGGTTTCGCGGGGCCCAGGGGTTGGCGAGGCTGTACCTCGGGGTTGACTGAGGAGCTGCTAGGACCAGACTCACAGGCTGCACCTGGGAAGCTGATGGGGCAGAGCAGGCGCAGCTGTCTCTCCCCTGGTCGCAGCCCCGCCTGCCCTGGGGGATTCTGACTCCCCAGCTGTCTGGGGACCATGGGGGCCTTCCCCGGCCTTGCCACATGAGTGCTTAGGAGACGTCCACTGAACTGGCAGGAAATCTCTAATCCACTAGGCAGGACCATGCTTTGCGGGAGGGAAGTGTTTGGGGCCCAACCCCCTACCACTCAGGGGAGCTTGGGTATCAGAGCACTTCTGTGGCTGCCCTCCTACAGGGGACACACAGCAGGGCAGGGAGGGCCTGGCCAGGGCCGCCGGGTTCCAATCCCAGCAATGCCTTTCCCAGCGCGGTGCCTGTGGCATTCTTCCCAGGACTGATTTCTCCACCTGTGAGGCCGGGGTGTTGAGAAGCTGAAAAGGAACAATATATGTCAGACCCAGCATGTGGCTGATGTCCACTAACAGTTGGTCATGATTTCAGTTCTAGCCCAGGAAACCGAAGAACAGCAATCTGGTGAGAGTCGTCAGTGGGAGCAGAGGGCCGAAGGTCAAAGTTCAACGCCTCAGAACACGCCGGCCTGATTCACCCGGCTGTTTCAATTTATGCTTCAGGAATGCCGGGCTCTCTTCTTGGCTCTGCTTTGGAGACGGGAACATAAATGTTTAGTGCCAAAATGGATTCAGAGACCATCGGAACCAATCCTTCATTTTACAGATGGGGAAACTGAGGCCACCAGACCAGAAAAGACTTGGCCAAATCAGACCAAGGAACCTGAAGACAGGGTTTTCTGTTTCCCTGACAATTGCTCTTATATCCCTGCCCGACACCAGCTGTGACTGCAATTTAGAATGTGTGCAAAATCCCTTTAATGAAAGGGCTGGGAAGACATGCAGCTCTTGAGTTTATTTTTTTGTTAATCCTCACCTGAGGATATTTTTCCACGGATTTTTAGAGAGAATGGAAGGCAGAGGGAGAGACAGAGAAACATCGATGTGAGAGAGACACATCGATTGGTTGCCTCCTCATGTGCCCCAACCAGGGCCGGGGATCAAGCCTGAACTGAAGTACATGTCCTTAATGGGAATCGAACCTGGGACCCCTTTAGTCCACAGGCCAACGCTCTTTCCACTGAGCCAAACCGGCTAGTCGCAGCTCTTCTGTTTAATTTTCGTTCTTTCCCCAGAGAAAGGCCATGGTCGCATAAAACAATGGGCAGAATGTCTCCCTCCCTCTCTCTCCCTTCCTCTCTTTTGTCTTTGGCCCTGAAAACAGCCTGAGTGTAAGCCTTAGGACTGAAGGTTTGCGTAGTAGGCATGCTCCCCCTGGTGGAGTAAGTGAAGATGACAGGCAGGGCATGGAAAGAATTTCCACGCAAGCGCCTGGCTGCCCAGGGGTCCCACACCATCGCTGCAGCCTCAACCTCCCCTAACCTCGTCCTAATTCCAGCACTGTCAGACTTCCTCGTTATTTAAAATTTCTATAGTTTCTTCATCACGGAGATTTTTTTGCATTAGTGTCGATGTATTAAGATATTACGTTAAAATATTATTTATATTGATTGCTGAGGTTTTGGGCTCCCTTTAGGTGAGTGCCTCATTTGCCTCCCCTTGGTCATAGTCTAGTCCAGCAGTCAGCATGGGAAGACCCTCCCAGATGTATGCAACCCCCCTCACTTGTCTGATGAGCCCTAAGGCCCAGAGGGCTGGCCGGGTTGGAGTCAGGACAGTGGGCTTGTGCTCTGTGCACTGTGACACCCAGGGCAACAGCGTCTGAGGTTTTCTCCAGAAGGGGACAGGGACAAAGACGCTCCTTGCTCAAACTCCAGCCGGGCTGCTCTGAGCCCTCTTCTTGCCTAGGCCTGTCAACCTTGGCTCATAAAGACGCCAACAAACACTTACATCTTTGCTAACAGCTCAAGGCTGCAGTCCTAGGATGACCCAACCCTCCCGTAGAGTGGCTGCCTGAAAAAACTCAAGCCAGTGAAAAGAATGTACCGTCTGTTCTAGCCAACATCTGAAGATAGCGCCCCCTCTGCCGGTCTCTGCTTCCGTGGGAAAGGAGGGCCTGTTCGATAAGACCAATCCCCCTTCCTGTATTTTTTTAAGTTTTCACTTCCCTGACTCAGCAGAGTGCCCCTCCGTTCCTCTTCCTATCCCCTCACTCTTCCTTTAAAATACCCAGACACCTTTGTATAAAGGTGCACTCTTTTCCCTACAGACGTATTATTGCAATTTATATATTACATGTTCCCTATATACTGTTGCAATAGTATACCACTGATTAAAACCTGGCCTTGCCACTTTAGTGTTGAGCTGAGTTTATCTTTGATGATGGCTGCCTTTCAAAGTGCACCCCTTAGGAGAAATGACCCTGGGGTCAAGGGCGATTTTAAGGTGCACTGGGTTCTGGGTTTTCATCAATGCCTGCAAAAATGAAGGCCTAAAGGTAGACCTGTCTGCTGAGGCTCACAGTATGGGACTGGTCCCCCCCCCCCCGCCCCCCGCCCCATGTGCCTGGAAAGGCCCCCTTTTTGGGACTCCTTCCTCGACTGGGCCTCCATCCTGCATCATCGGCCTGAGGACTCCAGTGGTTACCAAGGAGGCAGCCACCCTCAGAAGTGAGAGTGGATAAGCCAGCCCTCCTCCTTGCCATCAGCTGATTACCAGAGACCCTCTGAACTGTGTCCCCTGCTTCTGCCCACCTGCCACAACCCCAGCACTCCAGCAGCCCTGGACCATATCCAAGGGAGACAAGACGCCAGCCCAGGTTCCTGCAAGGTTCTGCCTCCATCTGCCCCACCCCCACCATGAATGCTGACTGTCCCCCATCCTCCCTGCAGCCCCGGGGGTTCCCTGGCAGGGTGACAAAGGGACATGGGTTTAGATCAGGCCCAGCAGTGGCCACCACAGAGCTCTGGGCCCCTGCTCGTCTTGCTCAGGCTGGATTTATTACCTCGGCTACAAAGGCGTAAGTTCACTTCCTTCAGATGCCTACATCCCTGGAGGAAGGAAGAAGAAATGGTTACATAAAGGGAAAGTAAAAAGAACTGTTCACGAAGATTCCTGCTCAAACTCAGAAGCTGGCCCCTCCCCACAGGGGTGCCTGGCAGGACCCCGACCGACGGACACATGAATCCGTTTGGGTCCCAGGCCCCTTCCTGGGTTTCTCAGATGCATCCCAACCCCATAGTGAGAACTGAGTTATTTTAAATAAACCCCATTTTATTTACGGAGGGGGCCGCCCCTTCCTCGACCACCCCAGGCAGGGTTCCCTGTTCCTGGGTCCCCACTGGCTCCTCCTTTCCTGCCAGAGGTCAGTGAGAGCCATCGGCAGGGAGCTGTGGCTCCATCGGAAAGTTCTCTCCAGCAAGTGACCTGTAGGCCCTCTCTCCACCTGCCACGTTGTGCTGTGGTTCCTTGTCCCTGGCTCCCTGCACACTGGAACCCCGGGGCTGGGGCAAGACTCGTTTACATGCTACCACTGTCTCAGAGCCGCGGTTCTCGGGCACGCGGGGATAGCCTGGTGTATCTCACTGATTGACAGGTGGGCCTGCAGGTGATCTCTAACTAATAATCAAGTGCTTCAGGGTGAGACGGAGCAGATTCAAATTTACCCCTGCATTAATGTCATGCTCTCCCCCGCATCCCGACAAACTTTCTTGAGCGGAATGAACTCTGCCACAGCCTGTGAGGTTCTGTATAATCCTCCAGCCTCTCACCTCATGCCTCCATCTCCTTTGTCACTTCCCTCCATCCCTCTGGCCTTCAGCTATGCCAAGTTCTCCCCAATGTCAAGGCCTTTACACGTGCAGCTCCTTCTGCCAGAAGACCCCTCCCCCCAGCTCTCTGCATGGCTCCCTCTCCTGTTTCCGTGCTCAGCTTAAAAAGAAGCCCAGCCGGTGTGGGTCAGTGGTTGAGCATCAACCTACGAATCAGGAGTTCATAGTTCAATTCCTGGTCAGGGCACATGCCCAGGTTGTGGGATCGATCCCTAGTAGGGTGCATGCAGGAGGCAGCCAATCGATGATTCTCTCTCATCATTGATGTTTCTATCTCTCCCTCTCCCTGCTTTTATGAAATCAATAAAAATATATATTTTTAAAAATTAACCTCTTCCTAAAAAAAAGAAAGAAATAACCTCTTCCTGGGACTGACTTGGAAGGGACTGAAGAGAGCCTTGGATAGCTGGGCGGCTGGAACCTTGGGCAGCTGTAGATTCTGTTCCTAATCTACACGGAGCTTACGAAGTCTGCACATATATAAAAATTCATTAGCTGTCTGTTTAAGATGTGTAGACTTTATTGCATGTAAGTAAACCTAACAAGATAGAATCCAAAACAAACTTCCACCTCTTCCCTGTCTCCTGTTATTCCGATTACTCTTGGCCATGGCGTGTGCATTTCCATCCTGGCACAATAATGACATTACTTGCTTATTTATGTGTAAATTGTACCTCCCACTAGAATGTAAGCCCCACGAGGCCAGAGCCTCTGTCTGTCTTGTTCACTGTGGTACCTTCCAGAGTATAGCATGGTGCCTGTCACACAGTAGGTATTTAAAGAAAAAAAAAATCAGTGAATGGAGAAATGGGAGGATGAATAAAAAAGCTTGGGTTTAATGATGGAGAAAAAGGGGGCAGAGGAGGTCGGCCTGAGTCCAGAAGCTCCCGACTCCCGGCCCCAGCAGACAGTTTAGGGGTCTCGCTCTGTAAGCGCCAGACCAGGAGTGTGTGCCCTCCCTGGAGACGGAGCGCCGGTCCGTCTACACCTCATTGGGGTCGTCCTGGTCGGCGTAGATGAGAAAGCCTGTGAAGAGGCTGTCGGTCCAGTAAGGGTCGTAGAAGAGCCCATTCTGCTCTGAGTAGAAGATCTGCAGCCAGACCTCGTCCCCCTGCTTGAGAGCCAGGATGGTGGAGCCCGAGGCCACGTCGTGGTTGCCCGTGTTGGCGTCGAAGGTCCGGATGCGGTACTGGCCGTTGTGCACCAGGCCGATGGCCAGGTGCTTGTTGGCCAGCGTGATGTCGTAGGTGAAGTAGTAGATCCCCGGCACACTGCAGATGAACTTGCCGCTGGATGCGTTGTAGTGGCCGCCCTCGTTCATCAGGATCTTGTCGAACTTGATGGGCAGCCGCTCCCGTGGGTAGCTCTTGGTCACCGCCACCGAGAAGGCTGACCTGGCCTGGCCGCTGCCGCAGCTGCAGGGGCCCGGGAGGCCCGGCTCCCCCTTCTTGCCCTTGGGCCCCTTCTTGCCCGGTGTGCCGTGCTTCCCTGGGGCACCACTCACCCCTTTGGGGCCGCGAGGGCCAGCCTTCCCAATGGCCCCGGCTTTGCCCTTTGGTCCTGGCTTGCCCCGGTTGCCTGTCCGGCCAGGTGGACCTGGAAGACAGAGCAGCTGGTGTGATGAAGGGGCCTCAGAGAACTAGCAGAGGCTGCGGGCCCTGGCGCTCCATCTTTGGAGCACAGGCCTTTGGTAATGGGGAGAACAAGTCGGCAATGGAGCCACCTGGAAATGGTTGCAAATCTGATGGTGGAACCTGGGGCACGTGTCCCAGTGCCATCTGGAAGCCAGGAATGGTAATGCTTACCTTCCAGAATCATTGAGGATCAGGGTAAAATTAACATAATTCACAGCCTTTTCTTTTTCTTTTCTTTCTTTTTAAAAAAAATATATTTTATTGACTTCAGAGAGGAAGGGAAAGGGAGAAACATCAGTGATGAGAGAGAATCATGGATCGGTTGCCTCCTGCACGCCCCCTACTGGGGATGGAGCCCATAGCCCAGGCATGTGCTCTGACCAGGAATTGAACCATGACCTCAGCCGGGCCACACCTTTTCTTTTCCTGCCTTCTAAGGAAGAGTCTGGTGGCAGAACAATCCTTCGATGGGCTGTGCTGGTCACGGGTTGAGAAGAGAAGTGGAAGAAGCCTTTGACCTCAAAACACTGATCTTAGTGTGATCCCTGCCTAGTGCCCAGATCCCTGCACACGTGTGCAAGGGCGGTTAGTACAGTGCCGCTTCCAACAGTAAACACTGGGAACGACTAATTGCCTGTTCAAAGGAAAATGATTAAAAAATGATGGTCCATCCATAAAGTGCAATTCTATGCAGGAGTTTTTGAAAATGAGGCAGATTTATGTGCACTATATGAAAACTTCTCTAAAATATCCTGTGAAGAGGAAAGAGAAGGCGGCAGAACTGTGTTTTGTTCAAAGGAAACCACAACGCTCTTTCTATACTCATTTAAGTGCTTAGAAGAGTGCCTGTCCCACAGTAAGCACACGCTAAATACACTCCGCACGCCCTGCAGAATGTTTCCATCTTGGTCCTTAAGACCCATGTTTCATAAAATGTGCATTTCTCTCAAAACAACATTTTTGGCCAATGATTATATAGAAAATCTTATATTCATGTCCCCTAAACTCTTACCTTCCTCTCCACTGTCCCCCCGGTCCCCGTCCTGGCCATCCTGGCCGTCTTTGCCGGGAAAGCCCATCCTTCCCACCATTCCTGAGGGCCCTGGGGCTCCTGGGGGGCCGGGGGGACCCTGGGGGCCAGGTAGGCTGCAGACAAGTTGAGGGGAGCCCTTCTGGAAATCCTTGCGAGCGAAGGCACCAAGCAGAGGGTCGGCCGCACAAGGGAGCGCACAGGCCAAGAGCATCCAGGGGATCATGGTGGTCACCTGTAGGAGGCAAGAGAGCTGTGAGCAGTGAGTCCCACTGAGCGGACTGGGGGTCAGTCGGAAAGGCACCCAGGGGAGGAGGAGGAGGAGGAGGAAGAGGAGGAGGAGGAGGAGGAGGAGGAAGCTGGGAGAAACCATATTTCTGACTCCAGCTCTCTCCTACATCACATACAAGTAGCTGGACAATGTCTTGAGTATACATATGGATGAGCTGAGTCATGGGCCCAGAATACACCTTGGAGGGGTCTTGGGGTGCAGCACTCATCATCACACCATCGAACTCTGGAGTAGCCGGACTTATGGCCCAGTGACAGTTGGCTGGGGGGAGCTGTGCACAGAGAGAAATGATCCATGGTTTCCTTCAAATATGTGGCACAGCCCGGCCGGTGTGGCTCAGTGATTGAGCGTCGACCTATGAACCAGGTCATGGTTTGCTTCTCAGTCAGGGCACATGCCCAGGTTGCGGACTTGATCCCTGGAGGGATGTGTGCAGGAAGCAGCCAGTCAATGATTCTCTCTCATCATTGATGTTTCTATCTCTCTCTCCCTCTCCTTTCCTCTCTGAAATCAATAAAAATATATTATAAAATAAAGTTGCAGTATGATGTAGCTGGGGTCACGCATGCTCCTCACGGGTGGCATCAGTGATAGCAGGGGTGGTAGGCAGATGGGATGAATGCTGGGGAAGTGTTACACTCACGATGTGCTGTTGGAAAACGGTGCCCTAGACACCCCCCAGGCCCCAGGATCCCCTCTCCTTCCCTTGCTGACTTGCTGAGAATCTTGGGAAACGAGTCGGGGTGACTTATCAGCTGGGACACATCTGGGCGCCCCCCCCCCCCGAGAAACTGAATTCTTCAAGCAGGTTTGAACTGGGTTAGGAAATTGTAATTTTTGGACAAGGAAGAGAGGAAGAAAGCAGTGGGAGCCAGTCTCCCAGGCACGCTGAGAGTCCTGTGAACAGCTGGATGAAGACAGGCAGGAGAGAGGGGAGCCATGGGCTTCAGTTCCCATCCTCCCTCTCTCTCTCTCTCTCTCTCTCTCTCTCTCACCTCCACTCTCAGTCACACATGCTGGGCAAGGGGGAGGAGGGCCTGCTGCCCCGCCCATGCCAGCCTCTGTGAACAATAGGGAGATGCTCAGTGACAGCTGGGCCAGGGCAGGCCCCAGTGTCTGGCGGGCGGAGGAGCAGGGCTCTGGAATAGGCAGGGAGCGAGGGATTTCTCAGAGCCGGAGCCTGGAGGTTCCCACCGGTGCCAGGAACTGTTTTGGAAATAAAGGCGGGGTGACTAGGTTCTGGTTCCAAACCTACAGGGCGGGAGAGGAGAGTCTCCCTGGCCCCAGGGCACCTCCAAGAAAAACAAGGCTCCAAATAGCCGGCTCCCAGCCTGTGCGCCCCCCCTCCCGGTCTGGCCCCCCAGTCTTCTCTCCACACTGAAGGGGTGAGAAACCCTGGGGTGGTGTGCCATGGCCCCAAGGAATCCAGACAGGTGAACTCTTCCAGGGTCTCTTAAAGAAATTCACAATCACAGACTTGGGGAGGGCCCCAAGGAATGGTCTCATCCCACCTCTTCAGTTACAGACCGGCGAGCTGAGACAGAGGCACTGAGGGACTCTCTTTACCTGAATTCTCTTATGTGAAGTTTATAATAAATCCTACGGAGGTGGAAAACGGATTGTTCCGTTTTTCAGAGGGAGAAACAGAGGCTCTGAGAACTCCAACGATTTGCCCGCAGTCACACAATCGGAGCAGTGGGGACAGCGCTCGGACCCGTGTCCGAGGGGCTCTGAAGACCACCCTTCACCCACTGCACCTTGCTCCCTTCTCCGGGTGTTTCTTTCCTGTTTTATAGAAGAGGAAAGGGAAGCGCAGAGAGGCCAATTGGGTCATGTTTGCGCAACCCGTTCATGGCAGGAGTTATATTTGAACTTGGGTTTGGCTGACCCTAATGTCCACATGCTTTCCATTATGTCAGCGTTTCTTTGATTTTTCCTCCTGAATTTCCCAAACTACAGAAGAGACCTTGAAGTGTGTGGCAAAGCTACACAGAGCAATGGAGAAATTTCTTTGATATTGTGTATTTTATCATTGCACACACACTTTACACACGCACACACACACACACACACACACTTTGGAAATGTAAGCGTGATGCTTTTCCTCCCTCAGGATCCCGATGCTTGGAGGGAACCTCCTGTTCTGTGAGAGATCCGTACGGGCACTGGGCTTAGCCAAGATGATTGGGAGGGGGGTGGGCCACCTCCTGGGCTCTGACTCTCCACCACGAGCCTCTTCGGAGTGTTAGCGAGGTAGTTCCAGGGGCTGAACCAAGAGCACACCCGGGGGCCATCAGCTCAGTCCATGCC